AATAATAATAATAAACAACCAACAAAAATCACACCAGAACTAAACCCTCCAAAAACCAATTTGTCAACTAACTTACTTCTTCCATGACCAGTTTAGGGGAAGCAACACGGATTGCAATCCCCATGTCTGCCAATTTGTCCAATACATCCTGGAAATCCAAGTTGCGACGAGATTTAGCACGGGACAACGCACGGCCCTACAGGACAACATTACCAGTCACTCTTGAAGTCGTCAATATCACATACTGAAGCAAGCATTGGTGAGAAACTTAAACCAAATGTCAGTTATATGCTTTGGATACTTTCAAACCTGCACTGTATTTCTATTCAAGTTTTTCTTAGCACCCTCCACAGCTACTTCTATATTCTTGGCTCCTTCATCTATTAACTGAGACCAAAGCTGTCAGAGATGAGCCCTCCTTTTCTGTGATCCCAATAAGACCAAAGTATTCCCCTCAGGAAAAGCTAATCTTTCTTTGGTCACAGAGGTAGCCAGTTTTTCAATGTTAGAGCTCCTATACTTTTACCAGACATGCAGATGTTCATGTATGTATTAAACTATTTGGAAAGGTATAAAAGGGTTTCTAATATGTAAAAGGTTGACTATTTCTTCTGTAGCATATGAGATTATTTTGTTACATCCTGCACTGTTCTCAATTCAGTTAGACAAAGGAAGGGTTACAAGCAATTTAAAGGAAGTTGTTAAGCTGCCTAGAGTGGTCATAACGACCAGACAGGCGGGATATAAATAGAATAAATAAATAAATATAGTTCAATGCATATAGAGAGATCAAATGGGGTATATTTAGACAGTTACTAATGCAAATATTGTATATTCTGATATTACTGGCATATCACCAAGCCTTACAGAACTGAAAAGGGAGCACACCAATTAGAGAGACCCATATTGCTTTGCTACTTACTGCTCCATGACATGTAGTTCCAAATGTTTCACTCATGCCTTGCTCTGTGCCAGTAAGGACATAACTGCAAGTCCCCATTGTTCCTCCAATCAATACTGGTTGTCCAGTTAGCTGCAGACAAATGTAACAGAGTTGCCAAGTCAAGAGTCAAGCCTATATACTGCTCAGCAAGGAGCACTACTGATTTTCATAAATCTCTCCAAGATCCACTTCCCATTAGTAAAGCAAAGAAGTCTGTGGCAAATAGACAATCTGCAGAATTTTAATATGTCTGGAAACTTCAGCAAAGCACATAAGTACTAGAGTGCCAGTGACCAACAAGTGTATTTAAAGGTAATAGTAGCTGGAAAGTTGTGCAAGCACCCATTAATGTGTGAAAAAAAATCAGACTGGTATGTGTGCATGGACACATGTACACAGAGACAACTGTAGAAACAGCAAAATAACTGAAGCAAAAAAACAAACACTTGGGTGAGGAATTAAAAGGTGTGATTTCCTACAATGGCAGGTAGTAAGAGTAAAATTATAACAAAATCCTACTTGGTAATCAACAGCAATGAGGGGGTGGTGAGGAGGGAAAGCTCGGGTTGATCCTTTCCGATGCACAAGCAAAGTCCGTTCTTTTCCGTCTACCACATGCTGTTCCACTTTGGCGATGTTGTGAGACACATCATAGATCACATGCATATCCAGATCATCAGGGGTAGTGTTGTAGACTTTGGCAAATGCCTGCAAGACATAATATAGTGGTGAAGTGACAAAAATATGAGAGTTTGATACATCTGGGATTGGTGGGACAATAGGGCCCGAGTTGCTCCTGGAAGCTGCATTTTAGCCACATAAATGGTATCTGCAACCCTTCCATTAATATTTTGTTTTGCTTCAGATTCCCTGCAGTTCAAAAATGCATTTTAATACAGTGGTACCTCACAAGACGACAACCCTGCTAAACGACGAATCTGCATAACAATGACTTTTTTCTATCGCTATAACAATTCGCAAAACAGTCATTCCAATGGGAGATTTTCGCTGGACGCTGATTAGGTCCGTGCTTCGCGAACCATTTGTTCGCAAGACGACGATTTTTACAGCTGATCATCGGCTTCACAAAATGGCTGCCCTATGTTTTCCAGACCAATGCTTCGCAGGACAGCCATTTTTATAGCTGATCGGCGCTCGCAAAATGGCTTCCCTATGGACGATCTTCGCTGGACGATGAGGTATTTTCCCCATTGGAACGCATTGAACTGGCTTTCAATGCATTCCAATGGGGAAACAGATTTCGCATGACGACAATGGGATGGATTATCGTCGTCATGCGTGGCACCACTGTACTTTGTCTTGAATACTTGTTATTTACGTTTACTGCCTATGAATACAATATACACCTTTTAATACAATACACACTTTGATTACAGCCCACTTTGCATAGGGGTGAGAGGCGAAATCATCACTACATTACTAAATCTGGGAATTGAAGGAAAGCTGCTCCCTGTAACATCCTCACATTGTTCTAATTCTATTGAACTTTCCAGCAGAAAGTCTCTTGAAAAGAGAGGCAATGTCTTCTGAATGGGGCCCTGCCAAATTCATACACACTAACTGTGAGCAGAAGTTTGGGGCACAGCATCACCAAACTATGTACCACCAGGGCAGCCTTCTCTGCTGTGAAACAACTGCAAGCCTGAAGTCAAAAGAAAACAATACTTCCGAACAACATACCCACTGGAGGAAAGACCACGGTATGGCCCAACCTCCCTCTTTAAAGGCAAAGTAACTAAATGCAATCACACCACAAAGAGTTCCAAGTATACCAAAACCAATAGTATTGAGACCAATGGTTAAAATTCTATAATCACTTAATATGAACCTCCAGCAGCCCCATCTTAAAGAGACAGAAGCATACAGGCCAACATAGTTTTTTTGTACCTGTCTTGTGAGGAAAGTCATGGAGGAACGATTGACCCATGCATAGTTTCCAGCTGCCGCCATCCCTTTCAAGTAATCTTGACCCTCCTGAGAAGCAATCCTGGCACATGCCAGCTGGCGATCATTTACAATGATCTTATCCCGTTTCATGGCTTTCTCCATAGCCACCAGGGCATCTGCGAGGGGGGAAAGGACCAAATTTGTCAAATCCAGTTCAGGCTCTTCTGATGCTAATCTGTATCAGCAGGCCCAGAAACTAAAGATATCTGAAAATTCACCACATGTGGTATAGTAAAACCACCATTACCCTGTTGATATTTGCAAACAAAGAACTGACAACTGAAATTTCCTGTTCCATGTCCAGGGCAAAAACGAACACAAAGCAACATTTCAAAATTTTGCATTAAAATAAACAAACATGAAGCAGAAAAAACAAGAGCCAAGAGTATACCTGTTGCTACTTGGTGGCCAAGGCCTCTGCTACCGCTGTGGATCATCACACACACTTGCCCTTTATGATCTATGCCCATTTTCCGGGCAGCATACTCATTATAAATATCATCAACAACCTGGATCTCAGCATAATGGTTTCCTGCTCCCAAAGTCCCCAGCTGTCAAAGAGAGAGAGAAAAAAGATCTTAGCCATAAACTGAGCAGGATTTGAAAGGAAAAAATAAAAATAAAAGAATCTTGGATGCCCTTAAAAAGGCTGATGTAATGCTCTCCCGCTCTGTACACTGTTCACTGGTGAAGTGGAAGAAGAACATGAACGAGTGGAGCTCCCGGAATTTTTTAAAGAGCAGAAGCAATAATGTCATGTGTTAGAATCCTGACAAACCTCTTGCACTGGTAAGTGCCTATGGTGACAAAAATGCTTCAGTTACAGAAGTAGATGCACAACTAAAATCATTTTTGAATTCTTGCTGGGGAAATATGTGTGTGTGGGCTCTCCTAATGATCTCCTACTCTTCAGAATGTACTACTATAATGCTGATATTGCTATAGGAGATAATACAGCTCGTAGCAAAGAATTTGGGAAAAGCTTGATGTCTGCCTGCAATGAAGAGTAACTGTTTCAGCTTACAGCTAATAAGAGTATGTTTCCTTATTGCATCACAATAAAGAACTATGCAGCCTAACACTCATCTTCAATTGTAGCTAGTCAGATACCTGTGGAAAATTCAAAACAGTATATTAGGGAGGCGATCTCTCTTTGCAAGATACAGGTAAAGGTTAGTCACTTGTTTTTCCTTCAAAGGTCTAAGCATATTTGAAGGCTCTTAGACCTTTTTTTGCAAAGCAGTGTGCAAAAACAAAAGGAGAAATTTTAAAACAATACTGTAAAGAAGTACACCAGCAATGAAAATATTTATCACAGTGGCTGACTAATAAAAAGATTAAGCCATAAACACAACAGAATAAAATCCCATCTAACCAAAGGCAGACAGAAATAAAAGGTAACAGGAAAGGGCTGAATGTGTGTTCTGAGGGAGAGAACTCCACAAGGAAGAACCTACTGTGAAAAGATCCTACTGCCTCTGTATGTGGAGGTTTGATGTTTAGCCATTTTCCTCCATGAAGAAGTTCAGATCCCCTTCTAAACCATCTAATTAACCACATTGTGGCAATTAATTCTGTAAGTTAAATGTGTATCACATAAAGATCTTGCTTTCAGTGTGCTAACAAAGAAGTGCACCACAGCTTTTCTGCTTTCAGGAAATTTGCTAATACTACTTCAAGAGAAGAAATGGGTGGATCAGCACGTCTTTATTTTTATGAGAATCAAAGTGCTAATCCAGCATTGTTATCAGGAAACCAAGCACTGTACCTGAGGCAACCCCCTTTTCTTTGCCCTTGCGGAGACTTTATTTGGATCGGCTTGCAGCATCCTCCCATATTCCTCACAGTGTTCTTTATCCTCAGCCCAGGCATAGCCTTCTCGCAGGGACCAGTCTACCCCCATTTCCAGAGCCTCTTCCAAGTCCCTGGGATGGGGAGGGGAAAAGACAGAAACAGCCACTTCCATTAAGGATACAAAAGACAAGGCACAGACTGGAATATGGCAATGATACTGCTCAGTTTTGACAAACAACTATTGGAATAGAATGGGCAATAATATTCACAAGAACATTTCTTTTGAACTGTTTCTACGGAAGAGATTTCTAGCCCTTGCTGTTTTCAAATTAGGCAGCATGTCCTCAACCCCCCTTGACTCTTGCACAAAATATTAATTTTAGAAACTCTCCCTCCATTTCCCAATCACTGGTAAGGAACAACAGTGAAGCAAGTGTTTAAATGGCTGGCAAGTATAGGGTCGATTTCTGGAGAAGGAAGGAAGTGGGAGAAAACAGGCAAGGCTATGCCTGAGAGCAAGAATACACATTTATACAAGGTTGCACATTTGTGAGAGATTAGACTGGGCTGTTCTGCACTACTGTATTAACTAAGCCCCACTGGAGAATATTCTCCCAGGTTCACTGACATATAGTTCTTCTGCCTCCCATGAGCATGAAGTAAATGAGCCATCAGCTAACCTCTATGCTTATTCTAAGGTGGAAGAGACATGCATTGGAGCTACCTAGCTTATTATGTTTCCCAATCACTTTTTGGTACACAAAAATGTTGAGCGATGGCGGGGTAGTGTACCTGAGAACTGAGCAATTAACATCACCAGCACTTTGACCAGTAAAGGTAGGTGGCTAAAAAGTGAGTCCCAGCAGCAAGTGTACTTACTGTTCAGGACTTTAGAAGGGAAGCTTAAGTTATGAAGGTCAGTAGCTATGCTCCTATCATCCTTTCTTGCATCAATGTACCACTATCTTTTTATTACTGGCATCTGATAACTCTATCTTGTCAAAGATCAAGGAAGTAATTAATGCTTTGAATTGCATGGGCAAGTTTTTAACAACTACACTGTCATTTCTCTGCCAACATCTCAAGCAGAAGCACCTTTTTACACCAATTAAGCATGTATAACAAAAATAAGAAAAAAAATTTAAAACACAATATTGTAGCAACTTATTAATAGATTAGCCAGAATCCTGTTGTTTATATACACTTATATTCCTCCTTGTGCATCTCATTAACTAGTGACAGTTTACTACTTGGATTTATGCAACTATGTTTGTCTCTATATATAAGAAACAGGCTCTGGTCATTAAATTAAGCAGACATTGTTTCCAGACATGGAGGAGCTGATGAAGAAACCAGGCAGATCATTCTTACTTGGCATTCATGGGGATGACACCCTTGGATCCCACACCAACAGGAATGTGGTCAAACATGGACTGAGCAAGCTGCTCTTTCACTGGCTGGACATCACTCTCATCAAGGTTGGTACGGAGCAACCGTACACCACAGTTGATATCAAATCCTACACCACCTATGTGAGTAGATACAACACAAATCCCATCTAAATATGACACATGGATGTTTGCTGGTAATATGAACACAAAACAGGCTGCTGGCAATATGAACACAGAACAGCTGAGAGCTACAACAGTTATGACTCATTCAGATGTCAGATCTTCCTTAGCTGAAAAAGTAAAAAGATAATTCCACCACCTGTGCCAGCTGAAATGAAATGGAGCCCAATTGCTCCATACTAGACAATAAAGAAATGCAGCACTTTCAGAATATTTTGATTCAGAGCAAGAGTACGCATTTTGTCAAAAGTTCAAGCAATGCTCTAAATATCTCACTAGCATATACATGTCTGAGAATGTACTGACTGAAATCCAGCAGTGAGCTGCAATTAGTCACCACTGCCTAGAAACTATTGATAAACTATTTGTGATCTATTTGCAATGTCCATGTACTGTATCTAGGACTATACATCCTTCAGTCTCGAGAGCCTATGGTAGTGTTCTGAATAGGGGACTTGGAACAGTGTCTAGTGTGGCTGAGAAGGCCAATTCGAGAGTGACAATTCCTTCTACACTGACTACAAATATAATCTGTCCCCCGTCCAGCTCCCTGATTTTGCTGCTTTCGGGACTGCCTCTTTGCCTCGGCCTGCTGGACAAGGGTCTCTTCAAAATGGGAGAGGCCATGACACACCGCCTGCCTCCAGGCCGAACGCTCAGATGGTTTTCCATCTGTTGAGGTCCATTCCTATGGCCTTCAGATCCCGCTTGCAGATATCAGTGTAACGCAGCTGTGATCTCCCTCTGGGGCGATTTCCCTGTGCTAATTCTCCATACAGGAGATCTTTTGGAATTCGACTGTCAGCCATTCTCACGACATGCCCAAGCCAGCACAGACATCGCTGTTTCAGTAATGTATACATGCTAAAAATTCCAGCTCATTTTAGGACTACTCTATTTGGAACTTTGTCCTGCCAGGTGATACCAAAAATGTGTCAGAGACAACGCATATAGAACGTGTTCAGCTTCCTCTCCTGCCATGCACAAAGGGTCCAGGACTCACTGCAGTACATCTAAATACAAAATTCAGAGCAAATACATTTTCATTTTGCATCTGGTTTGGACAAACTGCATAGATTTGGAAGCTGCCTATGAACACCCCATCCCATGCACACATATTACATTTAAACTACTTGTACCTGGTGAAACCACTGCTTCAGGGTCACTCATGTCAAAAGCAGCCATGTTACCAATGGCAAACCCATAGCCAGAATGGACATCAGGAAGACCTATAGATCTCTGAAATACATTTTGCAAAAGAAAGAAATACAGCCAGTTTTATAATGGGAATGTATGAGGTGTCTAAGTCCCTAAGAATTCAGGTCTCTTATCAGACTATCACACAAGCAGTGCAGTGTAAAACAAAACTTTAGGTTTCTAATTAATACATTAGGAGAGACATGAAAGTAAATGTGGAGATGTAGACACCAGTTAGAACAAACTGCTGGCAGTTACATAGAATTATTTTTCAGATGTTACCTCCAAATAACTGTATTACCAGCTTTTAAAGCAATCATCAACATTTGTACCTACTTTATTTCTATTTTCCTGCATCCTTCTCCCACCCAAGTATGTGTATAAACATCTAACATATGAGGCAGCACTATACAGATATGATAAACTGTGCTACACTTCATAAAAGTTTACATCACATAAATTTTGTCAGTCTTCTTGGTGCCAACAGATTTTTTGTTATTTCACAAACTAATGGTGAATGTAGACTTTCGGTATCTATCTTGGCCTGGACTGAGTTTGCATGTCATGAAACTGTCACATTGTTGTCCAATTTTTAGAAGAACAGAAGTTTGTTAAAGCAAATGAAACACATATGCTTTGCTACAATAAGGATCCAAGTGTGCAAACTCTTTCTGTGGTGCTTTCTGCTTCGAATGGATCTCAGGACCAGTCCACTAAAGGAGTTACTTACATGGATAATTCCAGGAAGTGCAGCAACATTTCCAATTTGCTTCATGGCTGGTAAAAAGCCACCAACGCCTGAAAAAGACAGATGATGGCAAAGTTATTGCCTATTTCTACAAAACTGTGTTTGATGGTAACATCCTGAGGATATTGTAGCACAATCTTATAAATTTATTCCGAGAAAGAACCCACTTGTTCAGATATACTCTACAGATGGCTGCACAAAATTATATTTACTTTCTGATAAATCAGGTGGGCAACTTGCAGCCCTCTAGATGTTGTGGAATGGAAAGGTCCATGATATCCCACCTTTTTCTATGCTGGTTAGGGCTGAAGGAAACTGCATTATAGCAACATCTGGAGGAGTCTATGTTGTATAGGATCTAAATCACAGATGGACATCTGTGTCACAAATACTAAAAATGTCAGGCATCAAGTGAGGTATGACCAAAAAAATGTACAGGACAAAGCTAAGATTAACAGATGTGTGGCTTTGTTTCTGTCCAATTAAACTCTCCTTGACATTCCAGAAATAATTGGTATAACTTAAGTAAGAGAATCATGCACCATATTTTGTTTTCTGATTGAAAATCTACTATGCTTCAATAACTATGTTCTTCCATGATATTCTAAAAAAAGTCTTGAGATTCCATTATATCATTATATCATGAGAAACAGCATGTTGAGAGCAGACAGAATACTTACTCACAAGCCCTAAATATTTCTTATTGAGTAAAATTCCCTTTGTGTTTCCTGAACATATAAGGAACCCTGAACTCCAATTGTATTAAAAGGTTGCCCTTGACATTTTTAGTCCAGTCGTGTCCGACTCTAGGGGGCGGTGCTTATCCCGTTTTCAAGCCACAGAGCCAGCGCTTGTCCGAAGACAGTTTCCGTTGTCACGTGGCCAGCGTGACTAGGGAACACCATTTTACCTTCCCATGAAGGTGGTGCCTATTTATCTACTCGCATTTACATGCTTTTGAACTGCTAGGTCGGCAGAAGCTGGGACAAGCGACGGGAGCTCACTCCGTCACGTGGATTCAATCTTACAACTGCTGGTCTTCTGACCTTGCAGCACAGGCTTCTGCGGTTTAGCCCGCAGCGCCACCACATCCCAATTGTATTAGCTGAACATATAAACTAAGTAGGGTTCAAATGAGATGCAAGTTGGATTGGAATTAGGGTTCTAGGCATAAGAGAAATGAGGAAAACTGGGCAATCGAAAGAGGACACACATACCTCCACCTCGGCATGCATTCCTTAACTCTTCAAACATTAACTTCTCCAAGGGATCATTCACGTAGAATACCCCCTCCACCTTGAGAAAGAAAGGAGGATAAAAGGTCATGTATAGTGAAAGCAACACTTAGAAAACAGTTATATTAGGAATCAAGGCTTATTTAGTTGTGCCAATTTTCAGAAGTCCTTCCCCATAATGCTTGAGCAAGCAACTTTCTCCGGTACTCCCTGCTGCTGGATCAATATGAAGCTGCTATTATGTTGTTGAATTACTGCAGCAGAAGCCATTTCATTTGGGGCAACGGGAGGAAGGGGCTACATGCAACCCATGTCTACTGAAAAGGTTTAGGTAGCGTAAAATTAGAAAGCTAATAAAACTTCAGAGGTTAACTTCCAATTACACCCATTCTGAATACCTTGAATTATGGAACAGAATATATATTTTGCCCCACACATGGCATCTTGTACTATAATTCCATAGATAGCTCTAGTCCTGGTTAATAAGCTTCAGTCAGAGTTCAATTGGGAGAAGAACTGTAAACTGGTTTTTGTGCCATCCAGCAAAATGGTGACATCACAAATTCTGGTACTGGTATTGTTGTTGGGTCCTACACACTACCATGCTATTTCCCCTTTTACTTAAGGAATGCATGATTCTACATAATACAACCATGAAAACAACTAAATCTAATAAAATAAAATAAAATAATAAATAAAACAAATAAGGTACTGAGCACATGCTAATTATAGCCAAACAAAACTGTGCATTTTTTATCTATCTATCTATCTATCTATCTGTCTATTTGTCTGTCTGTCTGTCTGTCTGTCTGTCTGTCTGTCTGTCTGTCTGTCTGTCTGTCTTATTAGACTTATATACCGCCCATCTAGAACATGTCTACTCTGGGCGGTTTACACAAAATAAGTTCAGCAAACTTGCCCCCTGTACGGAATTTGGAGGCTCACATACAGTCTCTTTCCTGTCCTCACCGGCTCTACCGTTGCCATGAGATACAGCCTCTCTTTTCATTCCCTCAATCACTCCAGTAATGCCTGGGAAGTAACCGGTTGTAAACATGGCTGTTCTGATGAGACACATATGGCTGTTTATGAAACCCTGGCTGCATACTGTTATGAAACGTGTGGAAATGTACAGAACCAGCTGGTCCTTCATCCCAGGAAAAATTCTACAAGGAAAAAAACTGGTGGGAGGACACAAGACGCGCGTGAAAAGAACGGCAGAAAATATATATTCAGAAGCCGGAAACTGCAGAATAAACCAAACTCAACAACGTGGCATGAGAGAAGCCGCTCCCTTCCCCCCATTCCCCCACGTGTGCGTGGAGCTGCTGCTGCTGCTGCTGCTCGTGAGGGACTGGCACTCTGCACATGCTTAAGAGAAGCGTGATTCCCCGCATGGCCGCCCTTGGGAACTGAAGGCTCAGGTTCAACGCGCACGTATCACTCACGTTCATGTTGGGGACGAAGCCCTTCTTGATCCGCCAGCAGTTCTTGTCAATTTTGTCCAGGTACTGGAGCTCGTCATTATAGCTTCGGCTCATGGCGGCGGCGGCAACACCGAGAGGGACCCGGTCCTTCTGGCCGACTCCCTGCCACAAAGTGCAGAGCCACGCTCCCTCCCGGCCGACGACGAAGAACCACTGCGCAGTCTCCCTGAAGGAAGGCCACTGGGGGAAAATTCCTAGACCGTCTAACTACGAGGTTCTACGGCGCCCACAGAGGGTCAAACTTCCTCCAGTACGCCTCTTTATTTCTCTGGCGCTACCTCGCCGCCTTCCCTTGGTGAAGGGCGACGTCTGTGTCGAAGCGCCAACCAGTGGTTGAATAAGGAAGGGTGCGGAATAGGGCTAGCGTGGAGTAGGATGATATTAGGAAGGTGGTGCTGAAATAGCAGTGATTCAAAGAGAGCTTTTAATTCGGGCCACCATCTTATTAAAGAAGTGATTGTTGATTGATTGATTCTGCGAGTCTTGGCCAGCAGATCAATTAATGGATTAAATCTACAGATAAAACAGTCTCTCTGAAACACTGCTTTTAGATGAGAAAAAAAAACCAAAGGAAAACATAAGGAAAAAAATCAAAACGTATATTGGAGAATGCTGTTATTAATTACAATTATGTGATGGCATGTCAATTTGGACGGACTGTGACCTTTCTGGAGTTCTATTTTGTTTTTATGCATAACATATTCAAAAGCGGTTCACCAGTCCCTCTATCTGCTGATGTTTTGGAACAGTGGGAAGTTGAATTCTTCACACCAGACACTCAGCTTCTGTTATCAGGAATGAAAAAAATATTCCAAAAGAAGGTGCGAGGTTTAGGTGGGAAAATACAGATGTGTGGAAGGCAATGCCTGGATGCCACCCCCACATTCTGTACATTTCCATAAGGGAGTCAGGGTTAATTTTCAATAACCCATTTGTCACTGTTGCATGTTGTCAGATTATCTGTAACATTCTGGGATAAGGAAACAATAATTTACCCCTTATTTTGGAAAACAGATCAGCTGTAACCCAGCTCAATGGCTGTTCAGATGGAGATAGATCCACGTCCAGGTCGCTATTCCAAGCAGAATGCCAGCAAGCAAACATGTGGCATCTACATCTTTGGTCCTCACCGTGTTTGTTGCCTGGGCCAAACCAGAAGTAGGTGAAGCACCTGATTGCAACGATGAACAAGATGGTAGGGGCCCAAACTCATCTTAAGTTCTGCCACATATGACTCAAGGATTGCAAAGCAACTGCTGCTCCCTGTCATTGTGGGGGTGAGACACCTTCTCTATGCCTGCAAGATTTTTAGAGCAATCCTAGACAGGAATAAGTGTTTCTGACTTCACTGGAATAGCTGTCCAATAAATGATCTCTGTATATTTATTCAAATATGCCTTGTGTGAAGTGCTAGTTGAAACCACAGCTGTGGGCAGGTTCTCGATTGACACTACACAGAAGGCAAAGAAAAACATTTAAAAAAATTAATCTAAGTGATGTAGTACATCAGTGATAGTTTACCAGAGGCAGTTTTTTTCTTCTTCATTTCCCCAGCACCTCCATAGAGGAATAGGAAAAGAGTTTAGTTTTCCAATATCCTGGTGTGGCTCACCTATTAAGCCTCTTCAGGAAACCAGAAATTGACAGTACTGTAGAAATATATGGACTAAATATTTATTTTTATTATTTGATTTATATACCGCTCATCTGGTAGACAAGGCCACTCTGGGCAGTTTTCAACAAATAACAAAAGACAACAGAGTAACAAAATAGCAAAAAGCAACATTAATACATAGGACTGAAAATCCAAAATCATAAAGTGAAGTGAGGATAAAATTATAATACAATAAATTAAAAGCATAGAAGAAAATAAAAACACGGAGCAGGGCAGTATGATAGAAGTTAGATTACTGGACACTATTGTATTAGAGTGTAGTTTATTCAGGGAAGGCCTGTCTAAATAGTCAGGTTTTTAGTAGCTTTTGGAATGTGCCCAGTGAAGGAGCCGGGCAGACTTTGGGTGGAAGAGAGTCCCATAATTGAGGTGCCACTGCTGAGAAGGCTTGATTTCTAGTGGTTGTTTTCCGGGCCTCTCTCGGGGTCAGAACTCTCAGCCGCCCTGTCTGCGACAATCTTATAGGATGGGCAGACCTAACTGGAAGGAGGCGCTTGGCCAGATATCGAGGTCCCAAACCATTTAGGGTCACTTGAGGTCCATATGCCATTTGGATGCAAGGATCACACCACCCAACCTCAAAGTACCCTATTTAGAGTGTAACAGCCCACTCCAAAATGGCCAATGTGGACATGCCCAAACTTTAAGAGAATCTTATACCCCCCCTCCTAGATTCATACTCTATTCATCTGAAGAAATGTGCCTGGACACGCAAAAGCTTATGAATAATAACAACCAGTTAGTCTTATAGGCACTATGTGGCTTCTAATGTGTCTCATGTAAAGTGTTACCTGTCTTCATTTCACACAGGTTTTTACACATGCGGTTTTGCCATGGTTGTGCTTAAATATATTTATTTAATATATCTATCTATCTATATATTTATTTAATATACTTAAACCTACCTACCTATAAATAAAATATATACAGGGTTTGAATAGTAATAATTGATTTGGAGTATGATGGTGACAGAAATCTATATTCATATTTAGTCCAGAGATAGAGGTATTATAAATAGCCAGTGTATAAATCTACTTAACCCAACTATTCTGTCCTAGAACGAATCTCCTACCAATGCCATGGTGGGAACTGGTTGCCTCTAGAACTTGCTTAACTGCAATCCCCATAATCCCTAACTACTTGACATCCTGCCTACAGATTGTGATACTCCCATTACACAATCCATAAACATCTGGAGATCCACACATACCCTACATTCTAAGGACTCTTCCCGCTACTCTCAAAAGTAGCAGATGCCATGCAAATGTCCTTTCCATTATTGTTAAAAAACCCCAGCAGGGAATGATGTGTAAGGAAATTACATATGGTAACGAGAAAGCTTCTTTCCGCAGGATATATCTTGCTCATAAGTCCTTCACTCTCACTGGGAAAGAACTGTGATAACTGTATTTCTACCATGAAGAATAAATCTATACTAAGCCTTCTCATAATTTCAAGTGAATTATAATACAAAGAATAACAAAGAATAGAATTATTTTAATCCTCAAGTCAGATCTTTTTAAGTGTGAGCAGTTGTAAAATCTAGGTTAAGAAATGCTTTCAAATTTCTTAACTATGGACTATCAGCTATTCAGTGTCATTCAAAACTGTTCTCTCTGTCTCATCACACACACACACGCACACACACGAGAGAGAGAGAGAGAGAGAGAGAGAGAGAGCGAGAGAGAGAGAGAGCACACTTTCAGAGTTTTAAATCATTCTCTTCCCTGTTGCATCTTCCACCTGAAATCAAAATAGTCCTGAAGTTTCATGTTTTTATAATGGAAATGTCATCAAAAATTGCTTGTAGATCATCATCACCTCTTTGAACAGCAGAAGGTTTGAATGTCATATCAGTGGAAATCAGCAAGTATCCCTAAGAAGACATACAAATATTTAATTAACGTTAACAAAAGTAGTAGGTTGCTGGTAGCTTGGCTATCACTAATAATATCATCTGATGTATTATGATTTATATTTCTTTGTGAACGAATGAATGCTATTGCTGCTGTGTAATTGACATTAATTACAACACATTGGAGGGAGGCTTGTGCAGCAATTGTGCTTGGTAGTTCAGTTGCAGAGGTCATGGATATATGCATATACATATGCATATGCATAGGAATACACACATACTTTCATTGCATGTTAATTTTTTAGCATTAACCAAAAGTGGTGCCCTGATTCAATGGAACAGTATGTCTGCCTTCCAGAGTTATGCTACTAGGATTGAATGTGCATATGTGTGTACCTGCCTACCTTCCTATATGGACCCCGAGTGGTTCACTTTAGGACATGATGGTCCACCTTTCCAACCTTTCGCTTTGGTTTCTCTTTTCTTGTTGGTGCAGTGATGTCACTGCTGGAGCTCACAACAGCTGTCTCCTGCTTTTATTTTCCTTGTATTATCTGGGTTGGAGGCAGCAAACAATTCTGCCAGAAGTAATTCTGATAGCACTGTGTAACTGCAACGCCACAAGTCATAACTGTTTGCATTTTCTTATTCACAGGAATCTGTTTTTTTCCTCACAGATCCAGAAACACACAAATAGAACAAAACCAATGTTTTTCAACTTTGTTTGATCAAGTGAAAATATTTTATTTCTTCCTGAAGGAATCAAGGATTTCTCCTGGACCCATGACAATGGTGTTGGAGTTATCTTGGGAGAGAAGCTATGAAACAGATTCTCAAAACTAGTCTGGGGTTTAATTTGAAAGAGCTGTAAAATCAAGATGTAAAGATACTGGCTAACAGCAGGCATTCTTTAGGCATTTTTGTGAAAGATACACTTCTCATTTTGTTATATGCTATTTTCTCTCTCTGAATATATTGCCTATTTTTCTTGTGAATTGCAGGATATAAGATGATTAAAAAACATGCCCTGAAACAAGCTGGACATGAAATCCCATTTCAAAATACAGAACTACTGGACAATACCAGCAATCATTACGTTAGACTACACAGGGAAGCCACTGAAATCCACAAACATCAGCACAGCTACAACAAAAAAGAAGAAAGTCTAAAACTCAACAAAGTCTGGCTCTCAGCACTGAAAAATACCTGCAAAATAGCCGGCCGAAAGGTCAACAAACTCTACCCAGTCACAAGGACCGGTGATCACTGCACACAATAGACTAGCTAACGACACCCATCAATCACAGTGACAGATCACCTTCCCCCTTAGTTCATCAATCACAGTGACAGATCACCTCCCCTTAGTACAACAATACACTCAAAACAAAAAAACACCCTGATCACAGTAATCACCCAATCTCCTGAAAAGAACAAAACCTGATTCCACAGCTACAAATACCCAACTATCCCACACACTACACCAGCACAGACTAAGTTCTAGCTCCTGTCCTCTGAAGATGCCGGCCACAGAGACTGGCGAAACGTTAGGAAGAAAAACCTCCAGAACACAGCCAAACAGCTCGAAAAACCCACAACAACTATTTGTTGGTAAGCTTATTCATGTCACATGTATATTTTTTTTCATGAGCAGAGGCTTTCTATAGGATGTTTTGAGAATCTGGGTGGGATCCCAGGAGTTGTAATCTAATGAAATCATTTTTCAAAGATTTACAGTACATCTTATACATAATTCTACTTAGCCGCCTTCTTGCCTGTGGACATGCAAACATGGGCACTGTAGAATCTCACCTGGTGAACTGTAACAACAGGTTCCACAAGAATTGTTGAGTCTAATATAGGTAGAGGAACTCCTTCCTTCAGTTTGACTTAATAAAAAGAGACAGATTTATGAGTGTGCATTGCTAAATAATAACAACACGCAGTAATATCTGTAGTTAATCAGTCATGAGATAGCACGTCAGTTCCAACTTATGGCAACCCTTTGAAGACTATCTTGGTATAATATAGACAAAAGTAGTTTACTACTCATTTCTTCTGGTGCTCTAAGACTGTGCAAATTATTGAAGTCAGCAAAGGCGGTAGGGCATGTAACTCCATCAGCACACACTTTTCGGGTCTTGGCTGGTCCTTCTGCCATGAAACATAGTTGGGAATCAAACTCCTTGCCCTGTTTACACAGCTCTGGAAACTCAGTGGGATCTATAGCTTTAACACAGAAGTAGCTCACAAGTTGTACATTATTGCTTAAATAAGGAGTTTTCCAAAATATATGTTTAATTTTGGAGTTCAATATTCCTATAAAGCAAGACATGTTGTGAATGCAGTTTGAAAGGCTGAAAAGTGAAGCCTTATATAAAGTGAACTCTTGCATCAAAATTGTTAAAGATTCAGATTCTATGAAACAACTCAAGCATTATACTTACCATTGGCTGCTGGAATTATTCCATTTTGTAAAATGAAAGACATGAAGTTATCCAAAAGTGACACCTGTAATGTAATAAATTGTTGATTTACACTCAGATTGAGGAAACTGAAGAAACTATGATGCCTCCTTTTTTGTAGGAACGATAACAGGAATTGTTTTAAGGTGAATTTGTTCTTTTTGCAGATTGCTTTGTTTTACGAGTACCATGAGCCACATGTGAGTTTTGCAAACAGAAGGGGAATGTAAGTATTAATGTTCCTACGGAAGATGTTAAATCCCTAGTTGTGCCAATTTTATTATGTAATAATTTGTGCCATATAATTTTTGTGCAGCTTGCGATCTACGTATGCTTCAAATTGCACTGTGGTTCTCTAAACTGCTTCAGAGTTCATCAGGTACGGATTTCAACTATACACATTTGGGAGTGGGGCCCAGACAAACAAACAATAGCCACTGAGGACTGAAGAAAAAGTATTATGAATTACTTTTTCTTCCAATGAAGTATTATTGGAAGAAAACTGAAAACGAAGCAAAATTCAAATACGAGAAGCACAAAAACAAGTTATCAGAAGAACACCGCCACTACCAGAGTAGAAGTTAAACATTAAAGAAAAACATTTTAAAGTACTGTAATTATATTATCTACTGTAAACTCCTTCTGACTCTCCCTTGAGTTCCCCTTTCCATAAGCTAAAATTTACCTTGAAGAAGCCAACATTGGAGTGGGCCAAGGAGAGATTGAAACTGGGAAAGAAAAAGAATGGTTATGAGCAGATTAGCATACAGTACATAGATATAAATAACTCTGTATCTGAACAATGTTAAAGATAAGGGAGATAAAAGCCGAACCTAAGTGCATTTTTACACACGAGGAAGAAAACAGCTCTTCCTTCATCAGTTTAGCTAAATTTTCCATGCATGTTACAAATACATCTCTTACACGAGCATTTTGGACAGTCACAAACCACTTGGAGAAACTCAAACAACATTTAAATATGAAAGTACGTTTCTTTGACAGCTGATGCAATAGCGTTTTATTCTATCCTATTTTATGCTGTCCGAAAAAGGACAGTTCTAATCATTTTAAAAATTATTTTATTTTAACTTTTTCAGCTATGCTCTTTAGGTAACCGATATACATATTCACTACTAGGTACAATATTGCTTCATCCTTAAAGATGGCCTATAAATACTGTAATAGTAAATAAATTAAGAATAATGGGATCTGTGGTATTGTGATGGTTTTACATTGTGTGTGTGTGTGTGTGTGTGTGCACGCGCATGTGGACACACACAGTATTTTACGGTAAAGCAATGACTTCTATGCCCCCCAAAAATTGATACAAGTGTCATAGATTTTTACTGTGTGAATAAATATGCTCTATCCCATACTTTTGAAAACATGTGATACTTCAAGGCACACAGGAAAACCAATAAGAAGAATGTATTCTCAAAGGCTTTCAGGCCGGGATCTGATGGTTGTTGTGGGTTTTTCGGGCTCTTTGGCCGTGTTCTGAAGGTTGTTCTTCCTGATGTTTCGCCAGTCTCTGTGGCCAGTATCTTGAGGACTGAAGTAGGAACTCTGTCCATGCTCTACTCCAGTCCTCTCAAGATACTGGCCACAGAGAGTGGTGAAACATCAGGAAGAACAACCTTCAGAACACGGCCAAAGAGCCCAAAAAACCCACAACAACCATCAGATCCCAGCCTGAAAGCCTTTGAGAATACATTCTTCTTATTGGTTTTCCTGTGTGCCTTAAAGTATCACACATAGTTTTCAAAAGTATGGGATAGAGCATATTTATTCACACAGTAAAAATCTATGACACTTGTATCAATTTTTGGGGGGCATAGAACTAGTTCTACACAACAGACAGTGCTAACAAACAAGCAAACATTATGCATATCCCTTCTGAAAACACAGGAAAATGTCAAAACGTTAGTGATTAGAAAAAAATTAATGTTTACATGCTTAATTACTTATTGCTATAAACAGCATTGCATCTTTAATTGGTGGATCGATCCACTCTCACGACCTGTAAGAAAACAGTAAGTGTAAAATCTAGCCAAATATTACCTGTCCAGACATAAAGCAGGTACCAGATTCTTTTCAAATAACGTCAGACTGACATGGGTTTTGGCTGTCTGTTTGAAAAAAAGAAGAATAATGGGGGTGGGGGGAGAAATAAGGCCTCTGTTTATTATACAAAAGTCTCCTCTTTTACAGGAAGATAAAACTGAGAGATTACATTCATACTCATGAATACTGTATCTCCTAGGTTTCTGCCATAGTTTAATGGAATTCATAGGGTTGCCAGCCTCAGGGTGCTGGCTGATGTGCAAGAGGATTGCTGTTCCTCCAGGTCTCCAGATGAGTAGTGTTGGAGGAGGAGAATGTTTGTGTCTTTTAAAAAAAGAGAACGTGAGGTGGTTTTAAAGCCTTGACATTCATCTCCCCTTTTACAGCTGGCACAAAGGTGTATTTTGCTGCATGTCCAGATGCCCCTTCAGCCTTCCTTCCAGTTCTGTGTTTCCATACTATCTGATCAGCTGGATTTTACTCAATTTATGTGTCCATATACCAGATTCTTCTTCTGTGAGCATTCACAATCAGGTGGCTCAGAATCAGCCAAATTTAAGGATACCTTTAAACACTCTGAGGAAGTGTTTTGTGTGTCAATCAGTATTTTGTTCCTTCAGAATACTGCATTTTGATGATGATTCAAAAGTTATGGGCCCGTCAACTAAATCTGTTGCATGGTACTTACTACATATAGGCTGAACATAGATTGGATGGTTGAATCTGGCTGGACGGCCAACACATCAATGGAGCCAGCAAGCACAAGAATAAAACTACCATTGTGCAGATTGATCAGTGGTGCAGCAGTAGTTGTTAGATTCAACATTACTGGCAGTGAATTTCCATAAAGCTGGGCAACCTAGAGAATTGTAAAACAAAGTGTTTGACAGCAGGTTCAGATTGGATTCTTTAAAAACCAGCTCTAATTCATTCTTTATTTGAACTACTGTTTTCAGAAAAGTTTCTTTGATTGTGCAGAATTCCTACATATATTTTCTACTCAAACATCAAACTTCATAAACATAAAGGTACTTACCATGGGAATGATGCTGGCAAATGTCTCTGTAGTTAGCATAAAGTAAGCAGAAAGCTGAGAAACAAAGTAAGATGTTAAGACTTCATTATGAGAACTGTGTTTTAAGTAAGGTTTTTAAAATATTGGTTCTCTGGCTGCCTTGTGCTTGATTTTGCTGTTTGTAGCACACCTCAGTATAATATAAATCTTTAGAACAAGGCTGTGCAACTGTAGCCCTCCAGGTATTGCTCAGCTGGAACTCACATCAGCCCTAGCCAGCTGAACCTTGGCTACCATGTCCCAATCCTGCTTAGAATACATTGCACCCATGCCTAATTCAACCTTGAAATACTTATTCTAAGGCTGAAAAATGTTGCCAGAAGTGGATCTGATCATGCCCTTGCCTAGAAAACACATTTTTTATCAATTGCATTTGAATTAGGACACCTTCTAAGAAATATTTCTGTATAACTCTTGAGAGTTGTTTTAATAAAACCAATGCATGTCCAGAATGCCATATGCAAGTTTTTATAACAAGTTGCTGACTGACTATTTGTGCACCCCATATGAGCCTTCTTGGCTTTTAAGATCTTCCGGAAACACCCTTCTCTCGGTTCCACCATCTTTCCAAGCTCTTTGATTTATATTAGTGCATTGAACAGGGGATTAGACGTGATGGCCTTATAGGCCCCAACTTCATCATTCTATGATTTTATGATTTGGCGAGTACACAAGAGAGGGCCTTCTCAACGGTTGCTCCTAGGCTTTGGAATGCACTGCCCCAAGAATCCAGATTGGCCCGTTCCCTCTTATCCTTCCATCGTCAGGTAAAGACCTTCCTCTTCAGGCAGGTTTTTAAACAGTAAGTATCTCAGGAATGCTTGTTTATTAACTTATAGATTTTTAAATGTTTTAAAACTGTTTTTAATCTTAATGTATGTCTAATTGTTTTTAATATGATATTTATATGGTATTTTTAAACAGTTGTTTAAAAATACCGTATAAACAACAAAGCATGGACAGAGTTCCTACTCCAGTCCTCTGAAGATGCCAGCCACAGATACTGGCGAAACATCAGGAAGAACAACCTTCAGAACACGGCCAAAGAAAAACCCACAACAACCATCAGATCCCAACCGTGAAAACCTTCGAGAATACAGTTGTTTTATAGTTTTAGATATCGTGAGCTGTCTCACAACACAGAAAGGAAGGAAGGTTCCAGGATATCACAGCTAAATGGTAAGATCACAACTCATCATCATGTGGAATTTCTTTGAAAACTAGCACAAGCCAAGTTCTGTCTGAGTTGTATTCCGATCTGTGATATAAGAGAGTGTAGATATAAGTGGACATCACAAGGCAACACAGGATACCTCAGGATCCTGTTCAAGATACTGCTTGCTGTGAAATTCTTGCATGCTGGTGGTCAAGCTCCATGAAAAGCTTTACTTCTGTCTGCCCTTAAAAATAGTCAGAGAAGGTCGAGTTGAATCAGAGAAGACCCTGGACCAAACCTGAGCACCTACCAAGCTCTGTCCACACCATCTCCTGGCTATTTTAGAGACAAAGATATACAGAAAAACGACATTTGTGAAACAGAGTAAGTTGGCACTGGCCTTCTGTCCATTACATAAATGTTTCTCCAGCTTGGAGCCTCAGATATTTACCACAATCCTGGTTTTCACTGACTATACTGTTGCAAACCCATGGGACTTGAAGCTGACCAGGATAACTAGCATGTTTAGCATTGCAGCACATTAAAGAATGACAAATCTGTTTCAATACGATTGCTTGTGAATTACAACCCACTTCATCAGACGTATCATGACGTTTGGGGTACAGTTATTGTAATTGTAAATGGTCCCTCACTGCCCACTACTTTGGCAAGTAGGATCTCAAGATCTTTTTCTATACCAAAAACTGGGGGGAGGAATAAAAAGAAAAGGAAAGGAAAAGATAAAAAACAGTGAGAAATAATCCAGATGTTTCAACACAGGAAACTTGGAGGAGGTTATGATTAAAAACTTGAGTTTTAAAAAGGAAACTGATATTTAAAGTCCTAGTTTTTGAGAGACAGCATTTGGTGCCATAATACCATGTTCTACAATTTATGCTCACCTGCTCTGCAACAGATCCATCAAAGGCTCCAGATGTATAGTAAGCCAGTGAAGCAGTCTGAAAGAAATATTCTGACACTCCTATATAGAGCATAGAATCCACCTCCTCTGGGAGAATGAACGGGTCTGGCTTGAAAGGAGGCTCTGATTCATCAGCTGCCGGGTAGATTGTTCCCTGGAAAGAACATACGAAGAACAAAGTATCACAGAAGATGGGCTCTAAGAAATGGAGACAAAATTGTCAAGGGGTTGTATCATCAATGGGCCACTCCCCTAAAATGAAGGACTCAAAGGTTGAATAACAGCTGTTGCCATCTAATGGCAGTAACTGTCAGGCAAATGTAATAGAAAGGTAAAGGTAATGCAATCATTGATGCTATTTACTGATTGATTAGAGAAGTGATTAAGCTAACAGATTCATTAGTGCTGACAAAAGACTGGACTATACATTGCAGGTAATCCATTATTAATAGAGGGAATTCCTCAACTATGAAAGCATATGATTGTCGCAGCATAAACTTTTCACACTTCACATAGTTTGAAAAATTATCTTATTTTTATGATTGGTCTTTGATGGTTAAACACAGACTTCATTTGCAAGTCTGATTGCTCAGACACAAACATCTACCTAAATCATATCTCCAGAGCACTAACATGATTTCAGCTGTAATATTGGGTTATCTAAAGCATGGATTGGCTCTGATATGAAAGTTCAGTCATATGAACCCAAGAGGTGTCGTAGTTTCAGAAAATCTGCATTTAGGATTACTGTGTTACCTTTAAATCCAGGTTGATGAATGCTTTGCAGATCGATGGAGATTTTACCAAGGAGTAGTCTATTATAGCAAAAGCATCAATCTGGGTTCGCACTATTGTAGTGGGAGATGAAACAATAATAATTAGATGAAATATATTGCTGCAACTACATAGAAAGCACTCAAAGTAATTTTGATCATACTTTAGGGGCATAAGGAAGATACAGAAACAATGGTGTTAATAGGATATAACTATCTTCCAGTTACATAGAACATTTTCAAGCCGAATAAAAGCTTCATTCCAAAAGGGAAATACTGTATACTGTATGTCGTGTAATTCTGTGCACGTTTACATAGGCCCACTGGCTTCTGTGGAGGTTTTTCTCAAGTTTCTATCTTAATGTGCAAACAGCTGCAGTCAAACTATTAAAAAATATGCTCCTGAATAATTTTTGTTATCATCTGTAGAAGAGGTACTGAACAAAGTTAAGTTAAGGTACAGCATGCAGGTCTAGTCCTGAATCCTAGTCACTCTACTTACTACATCATATTTGCTCTCTCTTATAAATAATTATTGCTGGACAAATACAAGCTTTTCCTTTTATTGCTATTATGATTACTGAGTTATGGAACATGGTCACAACTGTCACAGGTGAATAAGAGAGATTTTTATTCATGGTTTGTATTTTTGTATTTTTGTTGTTTTAAGATCTATTTTAATGATGATTTTTAATATAATGGTTATTTCTTTTTAAATATTTGTATAACTTACTGTCTTTAAATTTCAAATAATGTAAGCTGCCTTGGGTCCTTTTTAGAAGAAAGGTGGAGTAAAATGTTTTAAATATGTTTAAAAAGACTAAGAAGGTAGCTGGGTTTTTTTGGCGTTGGCGACAACTCTTTGGAGCCATTTTCTGACAGAGCTAAGCCTGGCCCCCTCCATCTCTAATTTGAGGAGGCTTCTGAAGACTCATCTCTTCCAAGAAGCTTTTGGTAGCACCTTCCCCTGAACTTGCTTGTCCCTCTTCTTGTGCTCTCCGCTTTTACGGCACTAACCGGGCTTAATGGCTTATCTATTTTTGCTTGTTTGTTGTTTGGTTGTTATTATGTTTGATTATGTCATTATGTTTTTCTGTTCAGGTTTTTACAAGTCCACTGCCCAGAATAGTGCCATGCACTAATGGGGCAGCATATAAACAAACAAACAAACAAACAGGCATTTTTGGGTACTTGCTGTGATATAATTGAAGATAACTAGCACAACTCACTTTACTTTGCTGAATCATATGAACTCCAGCCCCACAATTGTCTTTGAATCTACAGTATAGATCCAGCCTGACACGACCTTTTTTTAAAAAAATCCTGTAATGGTCCCCTTACATCCATCATGTTGGACTATTGTCATAGGCAGAAATATCACATGACCGGTTTGAATGCCAATGGATGTCCATCTTAATTGTACAGAAAGGCCTTTAGTCACAATTATTGTAGAGCCGTTATATGAGACGCATCCTTTTTTTTCCCTCAAGAAAGACTACATCTTACTATACAATTTAATAAATTTTGCCAAATGAACACAAGTAAACAACAAGAAAACATCAGCTTACCTTGATGTTGTCTCAGTTCCGCATTAATACGATGGATCTGAGTACCAATAGTTGGACATAACTGTATAAAACCATGCCAAAAATTATTGATCTAGTCAACATTTTCTTTGCAGAATTAATGTTAAGTTACAATGCAATGGAAATCTTGAAGACTTACATTTAAGCTTAAGCTGTTGCGAAGAGGCCTCTCCATAAAATTAGCAAAGACTTTATACATCCATCTGGAAAATATTTATTGATGTTTAATGTGGAAAGCATTAACAGAGTGCAATAAATCCTAATGTATTTGATGTTAGCATAGCTTTCTCCATAACATGATGTGTATTTATTTATTTATTTATTTATTTACTGTATTAGTTAAAACAATTAATTTAAGAAAGGATTACCAAGATGGGGTAGGATAAGGAAAGAAGAAATTTAAAAAAAAAAGACAATTTTTTGTACAAATTATACAAGGGGCCACTCAGGGTAAAACCTACATGTTTTGCTACTGAGGCTTTTGAAATAGCATGTTTAAATGGATCACTGCTGTATTGAAGAAAAAAACACTGAGGGGGATGATTCTGATCCTGAATGTGCTCTGCCTAGGTCTGAAATGGAGCTCTGCCCCAGCTTCCTGCTGAAAACTGCCCCACATCCTTGTCCCTGCAAGTGTGGCTCGCTGTAGACAGTACCTTTTAGAGCACCTGTCTAGGAATGAGACTTGGTAAGAAATTGATGTGGGGCCTCAGTCTTGACCCAGAAGACACTCCAGCTTTGCAGATGTTTATAGTGTCAATTCATATTGATTACCATTTAAACATTCCCTTCTCCCTTTATATGCCATGTCCAGATAAAAAGGCCTTGTTCCACATAAGGAACTTGTTGAGTCCACAGTACCAAACTATTAGAAGGGAGTTTAATCAGTGTAGAGCAGATACATGGTCTAGAGGGGCGGGGTATAAATTTAATAAATAAATAAATAAAATAAAAGATACATCTTTTTGCACTCTAAGCAGGGGTGTCTGGCACTCCTTTGCCAAGTGAGCCGGGGGGGAAACTGCTGGGTTTTTAGTTGATTATTTGCTATGTACTACTACTACTACTACTACTACTACTACTACTACTACTACTACTACTACTACTACTACTACTACTACTACTACTACTACTACTACTACTACTACTACTACTACTACTACTACTACTACTACTACTACTACTACTACTACTACTACTACTACTACTACTACTACTACTACTACTACTACTACTACTACTACTACTACTACTACTACTACTACTACTACTACTACTACTACTACTACTACTACTACTACTACTACTACTACTACTAATAATAATAATAATAATAATAATAATACAGCAGTTGTGGGGAAGTTATAGCTTTCCAAAACTTGCTGGATTATAACTCAAGTCAGCTATCAGTGTTAACTATGCTGGCTGGGGCAGGTGGAAGCTGCAGTCCAACAATATTTAGAGGGTCACATGTTTTACTTCTTCTGTTATATCATAAGAAGAATAGGTTGTGTGAGCAATCAAGTATTTCATAATGTTTCCTCTTTGCAGCATGTGAATAGGGGATATGTAAAGAGCCTATCCAAAGAATGGAAAGATCATGAACACATTGGGGTGTTCCCTGGCCAATGACAGCTCCCCGTTACCTGATCCTTCCACTCCTGAAGCACTATGAGGTCAACTTACTACCGTCCTGACTTGTGACCAAATCAAGTTACGAACAGCTCCAGTCTCAAAATTTTGCTTTGACTTGCTACCAGAGCTTTGAGATATGATCAGAAAAAGGCAGGGAATTTAAACTGCTAACCATTGGTCAGCGAAGAAGCTGCTTCTTTGTAGCTCATTTGCCCCAGCAGTTAGAGTGTGCGCGTTCTGAGAGAAGCTTCAGACTGCCTGGTACTGCTTTTTGCTTTTTAAAATACCTGTTCTGAGTGAGTACTGTTTTGCAGTGTGGGTTTGGGCTGGGGGGGGTTGTGATGGGTCTTGCAGTGTGTTTTTTAGTCCCTGCTGGAACGGGTTTGTTTGATTCTGGGGGGTTATGTTTCTGTGCTTTGATGGGTTTTGCAGTGTATAGTTGTAGCATTTTTAGTCCCTGCTGGAATGGTTTTTTTGTTTGTTTGTTTTAAACTCCAAACTCTGCCCACCCCCATTGTCTTCTCTCTCTCTCTATCCTCTCTCTTTTTGTGCTTAAAAGCACAAACCTTTGTCTGAGGGGTCTGTGTACCCCAGTGATGACCTTCTTTCCTTCGTCTTTTCTCCATTGTTCCCTCCCTTCCTCTCTCCTCTACTGCCCTTTTTTAACCTTTAAAAACAGCCGGAACAGATTAATTGCATTTCAATGTATTCCTGTGGGAAATGGTGCTTTGAGTTATGACCATCATACCGGAACGGATTAAGTTCAGAACTCAAGGCACCACTGTAGTACATACGTATTCCATCTGGAAATATGGGCTTTATATCATTGACTAATTCATTTAGAACTTAGAAAAATTTTCATCTAATATACCTAGATGACTGATCCAGTTGAATATCAATACCATCAACACTTCCCTGGCAGCTTTCAAGCAACAGAATTGGCCGACCTGTCTCATCCTGTGATACTGTTGCAACCGCTGTGACAGACACTCCAGAAATGAAGACAGTCAGTTTTCCGGAACTTCTGCTGCCGACAATAAAATATAGTGAGCTCATTTCAATAGTTTATTTTCGAAAAAATTACAATGCTGCTAAACTTTAATGTTGAAAGAAATAATGATTCTTTTAAATCTAGGATAAAGTGTCACACTTTCCCTGTTAGAAACATTCTGCCAATACCTATATTGCTTTATTTGTCAGTAACACTTCCATCCAATTCTAAAAAGAGGGCAAAATTCAAACCCTCCGTCCAGTTCAGAATTCTTGTATCTGCTCAAATACCTTCTTCCACAAATACAAGGCAAATGGAAAATGTAGACCAGCCTACCTGACAAATTGTTAGACTACAATGCCAATAATTCCCAAATAGAATATTTGGGGCTGATGGGAGTTGTGGTCTACTTGGAGGTCTACAGATTAAGAAAGGATGATGTAAACTTTTAGTGACTGCTTAGATACAGAAAGCATGTCTAGTGACACAAATGCTTCCTTAGCTTTATATGTTTTAAAATTATTTCTAGCTGCTAAGCAAAAGCCTAGCGGTGTTATCCTTTCATACCGTATTTATTAGATCTAGCAAGCTCAAGGGTCATATCTGTTCAGATTTTTTTAAGAAGAGCATGCTGCTTACTATATTATACAGTGGACCCTCTACTTGCGGAATTAATCCGTATTGGAACGGTGGCTGCAGGTTGAAAAGTCTGTAGGTCGAGTCTCCATTGACCCACAATGCATTGAAAACCAATTAATCCCGTAACTGGCTGCTTTTGTTCCATTTTTGTTCAATTTTGGTTTTTTTCTGGTCAGTAGGTCGATTCTCCGGCTTCAAGTCGAACCTAAATCTTGTGGCCAGAGAAGTCTGTAACTCGAAAAGTCTGTAAGTCGAGCTTGTCTGTAAGTTGAAGGTCCACTGTATGCAACTCACCTCAAGCTAGGTCACGGGTGGACAATAAATTTCTATAGTGGGCCACATGAAAAATCTAAACTGTGTTCGTGGGCTGAACCAACTTTACTTAAAAATAAAATGAAATAGTGATGTTATGATTGTGAAGATTAACAAGTTTAAAATAAAAACAAACACTAAAGAGTTTTTTTGTGGTATGTTAAAGATAAGCAACTGATCAACTTTAGACAAAAAGCTATAAATGGCCAGACAGGAGCGGCTAGCGGGCCGTATGTGACCCTCGGGCCGCACTTTGCCCAAGTCTGTGCTAGGTCATACTCACAACAGCCAAGTCTTCAGTTTCCAATCTGCAGTGAGAGTTGCTGAAGCATCTTTAATCAGTAGTTTAATCTCATTACCAGATTTGAGAGACACGGATGCATTGGGAAATTCAACAGTCTCAAATCTTATCCTGTGGAACACCGAGACATGTTAGGTTGTATTACATGAAAATCTAGGAAAAGAAAACCTCATGAAACTTAGAGTCCACTGCTGGCTCACTGGCAAATGTCTGATCTGCTGTAGTCTAGCAAAACAAACAAACAAACAAACAAACAAACAAACAAACAAACAAACAAACAAACAAACAAACCAAAACCAACCAACCAACCAACCAACCAACCAACCAACCCACCCACCCAGCATTGGTAAGAGTCTAGTTTATGAATATTGGACCTGCCTCTCTATATGTCACCAGTTGCTCAGGGAACTTTGGAAATAGATTTAAAGAGATTTTTGCCTACACTGTTAAATTAATGATGTACACTAGATAATTATGATACTGGAAAAGAGTCACTTTGTGAGGAGCAATCTCTCTTAAACTGATCGTTTTGTCTGCCAGAGAATTGCTCCAGCTTGCTCCAAAAAGTAGTAGACCTACAGCTGGAGCAAAGAAGTCCAGATTGGGCATGAATTGGGGTCAGGTTGGAGTTAAATTTCCCATACATCATGTGATAGCTGGGAAAAAGATCACACCAGCCTGATCCACAATGTGATCTGTCTGCTAGTCTGATCATACCGTTAGTCTTTCCTTCTGATTGGGTTTCAGGAAATATTTCCATTTGATGGTCTTTTCTTCATGCTAGCTGTAGTACTCAAAACAAAACAAAAAATCCCCCATATCTGAGCATATCTGTATAGAATTTGAAACACAGGCAATGTTGAGGAAGCAAAGGTGGAACTCAGATTTTAATTATTTGAGTCCCTTCATTTCTTTTTCTTTCATAGCAAAAAGACATGGAGGGTATACACATAGTAGGCAAAATCCTTCCAGACCTCTTATACTTTTCCTCTGAATGTGAGTTGATCATGCAAAAAGAGGTTAATTAAGGGGCCATTCATCACTAACCCACATTCCTCACCCACACTGAACAGTAAGAAATCAAAGGCAAAATTTGCAAAGGACAAGCTATTAATTAGCATGGTGGGAGACTTCTGCAAACTGTACTTAGCTATGAATAAATATTACTGGAAAATCTTGGCCATAGGAAAGGACATAACTGGATAATATTAGACCTGCATGTGGTCCATAGAACCATTGTTTTCATTCTGCCTCCACCTGATTGTTGAAAAACACTTATTATCCATGCTAAATGTTCCTAGGGTGGAAACAGTCTTACTTACTTAAAAATTGTGTAATTGAGTCCCGTAAGTCCAGATGTATCTTGCCCATGAAAATCCTCAAAAATTTCTTCTTTTAACCTTTGCTTCAGGAATTCTAGTCCAAATTGTGTCCCTGTAAGAACACATGACTCATTTAACTTTCTATTTTGCTAGAAAGACATGTAGAATATAGAAAAATTACCCCATTTTCCATTTGCATTCTATAGATCAGGTTGGAGTATTGACTAGAAGCAACATCTTCCATTTATACCTAATACAGAGATTTTCTTTCTCCTGGGCAAGATGTACTCTTCATATGCTGACCTATAACTCCCAGGCCTGATTACTGCAACATAATCCATGAAGTTGCCCTTCAAAAATATTTGAATGCTTCTGCTAGTGCAGAATGCTGTTGAACATCTCCTAACAGAAAACTCTGAGTATTCATTTTTCTCTGCCAGTTATACTGGTTATCAATTTATCCATCATTCCTTATATTATACAGCTCTGATAGGAAGCATTGGGAGAGACCATTCAGGGTTTTGGATTGAGGTCTTAATGAGGCCCCCCTTGAGAAAGAACCAGGATCTTCAACTGGTACAACATATAGTAATGAGGCTGGTGAATGGTATCACAATCATGTGATCCGGATACTGAAAGACCATTGCCAAATGCTTACCAAGCCCCATTTAAGGTGTGGGTTTTAACCTTTAAAGTCCTAAACGGCTTGGAGCCTTGCTATCTAAGGAACTACCTATTTCATTATGAGGCTTTCTGGACATTAAGATCTTCAGGTGAAGTCCTCTTTAAAATTCCAACAAGTTCAGAGGGCCACTAAACAAGTATGTGGTAAGGGGCCTTTCTCCTGTGTAGCTCTTACATTACTGAATCCACTTCCAAATTGTGATTTATTTCTGATCTGACTGGTTTTAAAAACAGAATAAAAAATATATTTAGACTGGCATATGATATCTAACCTGTCCTGCAGGTTTGTTTTTAACTGTTATCCTTGCTTGATTTGTAATGGTTTTACCGTATTTACTTGATTTTAATGTTTTTCCAATGGGTTAGTTAACATTATTTTATGGTTTTTTAGTTAAATCTGTTTTAACTGTTTTTATTATTTTATGAAGTTTGTGAGCGCTATTGTTTCATGGAAAAGTGGATTCTCAAAGATCACAGGTTACCACATTTGCTTGATTACCAGCTGAGATCTAAGACAGAAATGGACAAGACACCAGATTCACATCGAGAAGCAGAATTCTCTCAAGAGTTAAAGGGTTCTGTTTTTCTTATCCACATCCCTGTGATGACAAGGTGCTTCACCTTGCCTTAAGCTTTGGCCTTGAAATCTCAAGGAATGAGATGCTACTGACCTAACAATGCTATCCCTTTCTCTGTCAGTAAGCCATGGTGAGATTATATGCCTGTGGTGACAGTGATGCCCTTTACCTTTCTCACAATGACAATAGACTGGGGGCATTGTGGGAAATCAAAATATATCTGAATATAGTTTTTCATGTCTGAACTATTCAGAAACATTTTAATAATTTGTATAAAAGCAATTTTAAACAAGCAAGCAAACAAAGGAACTTTTTTTCCTTTTCAGAATGAGATAAAGAAGACTATTGTCCCACAAAAGATAAATCAAAACCTTTTATCATTGGTTTCCTTTGAATTTTAACTTTAACAACAAGCAGACAGCCCAATACTGTCATCATTCTGAACATTTGTATTTCCAACTCACCGAAGTTCAAACCTCTTTGTGTAATCTTCACTTTGATGCCAGGTTTAGCATCAAGGCACAAGATGAATAGGCTAAAAAGGACCAAAGAGCCCCAAACTTTCATTATCTGTCTCTTTTTTTCTCCTCTTTTCACTATTTCCTGTTAAAATACACATATACTAATTCAGTATTAATGCCATCACTCAATAATGCCTCAATAAGAACAACATCCTTCCCACAATTACTTATGATGGAACCTAAGCTCATCTATACAAGTTTGTACCTTAAAGATTTGTATCCTAATGTCAGATCTGCCAGAATCCCCTCTCTGATATTAACATTGGAAGTCTGCACCTTGACATTAAAAAAGAGCTTCAGGCCTAATTATCAGTAAGCTCCAGCTTCCTTTTTCCGTTCTCATTCATTTTACCTGATATTCTTTTACCCATCATTGAATCTGTGCTAGTTATCATTTTTTTTAATGAGACTGTGCATGCCAAGCATCAGGAGGGAATCTGACACCCTAGACTTGAAACATGGCATTAGAGAATGGGATAGAAGGGTGAGGCTAGGGTGAAGAAATGTCACAAAAATGTGAGTAAGACAGTTATGCACAACAGCACATAGACAATCAGGCACCTACTTCGCTTCATTGAAATCTCATTAAAACAATTTCCAAAAACCAGATGCTTTACTCAAATGGATAGGTGTTTATCCAAAAGTAAGTCCCACTGTGCACAATGGAACATAACTCAGTCTCAGGAAAGCATACAGAAGATTCACCACCACCACCTTAGAACTGTAGAGCTGGAAGGGACCCTGCAGATCTTTGAGTCCAGCCCCTGTCAAGGAAGCACAGTTGAGAATCAAACTCTCATCATCTGGCTACCTAAACCACTGAGCTACGTAACCAGCAGTTTACATCGGAACCTTAGAATGCACCAACAATATGTTATGCTGGATTTTTATGATTGAAACTCGCTGATGTCACTTTCCTCTTGCAAAAGCATCTGCAAGGGCCTCTGAATAGGATTACTGCCACAATGTGGCATTGTGGGAGTCCAGATTGTTTGTTCATGTGGCATAGTCTCAATTCAAATAGTGGCTTGCAGTGGTATTTATAAGAAGAAGAAGAAACAGTGATCACAAATATTCTAATCACAAAATTCTGAATGTTTGTTGAAAGAAGACTTAAACCAAGTCAGACAGTTCATATATGATCCTAATAACACTCTCAAATCAACATGGCAATCCTGTGCATATTTTCTGGGAAGAAACCCAATGAACACAGGGGAATTTGCTTATGAATAAACATTCATATATTTGTAATTGAAGTCAACAGAATTTAATTATAAATAAACATTCCTAGGACTACATGGTATTTCTAGTAATTAAGACTAATATGAAATAATAATAATAATAAGCCAAATGTTTTGTCTCATGTTTCTGAATCCTGTTACTTAGCATGGTAAGACACACCGGAGTAAGCCCATTGAATCAACAGGGATTTGTTGAGTCAATTCCTTTGTATATTCCATTGATTTAAATACTTACTCTCAACTGCAACTTACTTTAGCATAGGTCACAGTTAGAATAGGCTCATTTGAATCAATGAAATTTACAGAGGAAATCCCCATTGATTCAGTGGCCTACTCTATTGTGATTTACTACTCTAAGTAACAGGATTTCAGTCATTAATTCCAAATGTTATGCATACAAGAATAAATGATGAACAGTTAGACAGTTCAATGGTATAGGTATCTGGGGAATTTAATTCTCCACTGCATCCTTGGCAGGGGCTGAGCTCAGTGATACATAGGACCCCTTACAGCTCTGCAGTTCTAAGGTGAAGTATATAATTAATTTCTCATAGGATTGAAGGTACTACTCTTCTACTTTTTAGCCCGGTTTCTCTCTTTTGCTATATTTATTTTATTTTATTTATATGCTGCCCACACTACCCAAAGGTCTCTGGGTGGCTTACAACATTTATAATACAATAACAATTCAGAACAATTAAAATGCAATTAATATATATATATAAAAATTGCCATCAGACCCTCAGCTAATATTATTTCAGTTAAAAGCCTTCTAGAACAGAAAGGTTTTGACCTGGCACCAAAATGTCATCAGCGTTGGCATCAGACGAATCTCAGTCGGGAGGGCAATCCATAGTCTGGGGGCAGCTGCCGAAAAGGCCCTTTGTCTACAAGCCATCCCTCTTACCTCCTTGAGGGATGGCTCTTTCAAAAGGGCCCCCTGGCTAGATCATAACTGCCTGGTAGGTTCATATGCTCTGTGCTATCTCACACATGCACAGAGCATGTGTTGAAAAATCTAGAGGAATATATCTGTAAGATAATACACATGTACATATCACTTCCTTGTGTCATTATCTAGTGTTTTCAGAACTCTACAATGAATGTTAACTACCTGTTTTCCAATCCCAGATCAGAAATTTTGTCATACTATATCCACGTTCAGGAGTTCATAGTAAACAGGTCTTATATTTGAAACAGATGAGTGTAAACTGTAATTCAGCAATAAAAAGACCAGTTACATTTTGCTACTTAATGGCTTCCTATTTTGCCGCAAGGAACTGGAGAGCTGTGATGTTTTCTTGTACATGTCACATCCGCCATGGCTTTGTTTCTTGTGTTTCCCAAACAGGCAAAACTAAATATGTTCCTTGAACTCACAATGCCTATGCAGAACTTCACACTGAACATATAAAAACATCTGCAGACTTCTGGGTTGGGTAGGGACATGGAAGGAGGGGTTTATATGCACATCTCTACTCCATTCCCATTTGAGCCCCTAGATACTTTTTGGCAAAACACCTTAATAGGCTGATAGTCTCTCTCCCACAGTTTCAATTGCTTTTCACCAATCAATATCATCAAACACTTCAGAATATTATAATGAAACCGGGTCGCAATTTTTACCTGTTTGTCAGGATGAATCTTGGTGAGCAATGGATGGGTTCCACCTCTTTTGCAAATACTTTATTTGTAAGCAGTTGGAAGCTAGAGGTAAGCTAGAAGTGTAGAGGACTCAACATAACCTGGGAACTAAAAGAAAGTTCTGATTATATACCATGTTTAAGCTAAACATTAACTATGCCTTACAATGCATACAATTGACTGATAGTCAAATGATGTTCATCCCTTAAAAGGATAAAAGGTGACTCGTTCATTTTCATCTGTACACATGTCTGTGCTTTGCAATCTATTGCCAGCAATGGGTATCTTAAGCCAGATTTTTTTCTGTCTATCTTGTGGTGTATCTCCCTTGAAGGACCTGGTGAGATAAAACTTCCAGTAGGTTTCTTTTACACCCAGCTACTTCCTGCTATGGAACAAAGCCTGTAAAATATTTTTATTCATCATGATCTACACTTGGTACAGCTAAGCCAACCAAAGCCTTTTTCTGTTACAGCTGAGATGATTTTATTGTTAAAGAAAATACCATATTCTTCTGCCACAGGGTAGGCCAGAATCGAATAAGGCTCTAGAGCACTGGTTCTTAACCTTGGGTGTTAAAGAAAATACCATATTCTTCTGCCATAGAGTAGGCCAGAATCGAATAAGGCTCCAGAGTGATAACATTTCCTGCAATTTTTTTTCACCTTCCAAAGTTCTTGTCATCCTAAATTCTGATCTCCAGTTCCATCAAGTTTTCCAGTTTTAGCATCCGAGTAACAAAGGTTAAGAACCACTGCTCTAAAGTGATAACATTTCCTGCAATTTTTTTCACCTTCCAAAGTTCTTGTCATCCTAAATTCTGATCTCCAGTTCCATCAAGTTTTCCAGTTTTCTTTTGTATAACAACAGAAGTCTGTTAATATGGAAAAAAAGGCATTAGGCTTTTCAATTCAATGCCATCCAACTAGGGGGGAAAGAGAGAGTGCTTTATATAATAAAAAAAACAAAGTTTTTAAAATTAGTTGGAAGAAGCCATGGTACAAATGATCAGAGATCTCAATGCAAAACCAATGGATTATATAAACAGAGGACAGGCCAATGAATCAGATTTGCACCAAACACTGATCTTTTTGTAAGACTTTGATGGCCATAGTTCCCTCTCCTCCCTCTTTGTTATTAAAGGAAACCCTATTTTCCTTCGATCCCATTCCCTCTCCTAAGGTCAATCAGCATTCCATACCCCCTGTATGGAATCCTTATTCAGTCCTTATTAGGCCTTTTTGGTTTCCCTGTAGAAATTTAGAGGAAATGAATACAACATAAAGCATGTGCTTTATCACTGAGCAGTGGTCCTCATGACTGTGCTGAATGGAACTGCCTATATGCATCACTATATACACCACTAAGCTCTGTACACAGAGATAGCGCCTTCCAAGTAGGATACTTCATTGTTACTTTAACTCAGCATAAGCCATCCATGATACGTCTGTTCATTACTAATTATCTAATCTCACATTTAAATCCTAACTTCCTTTATGGTCTTTTGAGGCAACTTCTTCCATTATCAATTGTGGTATCATATTGGATATGGAAGATATAGCTCACCAAATATGTATCAAGTATTGCAAAGGGTAGTTGCTCCTACTGTTACTATTCTAATACTCTGGACCTCCCAGTCTCTTTGGAATAACAGTGCCTATAACAAAAGGCAATAGTCTTTTTGGGCATTGCAGGAGTCAGCCAAGAGGACAGACTCCTGCATATCTAGCACCGCCAAAAGCCTTTGTATGAAAGAACGTTCAATACTTTGTACAAATGGGGTCCTGCTTTGGGCAGAGGAGTTCACAGTGACAAATTATAAGACAACCATACAGGTTGAATGTGTACATCCTAAATAGAAACTTTCTGCCATGGATGAGAACCAAACTCTTTAGCTAATCTTTAGAGACAGAACAGCAGGAATACATGAACAGACCCTGACAAACCCTGGCAGAGGCCTGCTCTTTGTTGTTGGGTGCCAAGAAAATGATATAGGTTAAAAAAGCAATGCTAAGGCTGGAGCAAACAAGTGAGGATACAAAGACCATGATCCAGGGGGTTCTGGACCAGGTATACTCTAAAGAGACAAGACTCAAATGCCAGAGAAGACAGTGAGAGATGACACAGTGAGGTAAATTAGCTGTTGCTACTTGTAGTACTACATGAAAAGAGATTCCATCTGAACATCAGGAAGAACTTCCTGACGGTCAGGGCTGTCTGGCAGTGGAATAGGCTGCCTCGAAAGGTGGTGGGGTCTCCTTCTTTGGAGGCTTTTAAGCAGAGGCTGGACGGCCATCCATTGGGAGTACTTTGACGGATGTTCCCGCTTGGTGGGGGGTTGGACTGGATGGCCTCAGTGGTCTCTTCCAACTCTATGACTCTATGTAGTTGCTATCCATTCAACGTCAGAACATGGAAGACCTACTGTTTTAGACTACAACTCCCAGAATTCCCCAGATAGCATTACCACTGTCTGTGCAGATTGTGGAATTCTGGAAGATGTAGTCCAGATAAATTATTTCTCTAAACTCTTCCTCAGAGTGATGAGCCAGCTGCAACATAATATATTTTAAAAATACATATTCATACCCTATCACCCAATTATACTTGGTGGTTTTTACACCGTAAAAAACTGTCAGCGGTACAATGCAGTTCAGATCACTTTTCCTAACATACTTCTCCATTCCTCAATATTTAATTCAGTGACATGTACAAATTTGCTTCTTATTTTGAATTGGCCATCTTAACTTGATTGTATTTTTACCAAACATTTTCTTCAAGTACTTGACATGCTTCTTTTTATACAGAGCTATTTTAAAAGACATGTGCATGCTCATCAGAATTCAGATTGATAAACTTTAGTAAAGATGTTACATGGTATTAGCTTTAACAGAACCAGTAAAAGCACTTTCAATTGTTGTGTGCCCACCTCATGGCATACCAAGAGATAAGCATTATTTTTGCTGGCTGCTTTTGTGTTGCTCTGTATTATTTAGATTTGCCCAAGTAATTACATACATGCTTGCATTCTTCAAAATTAAACAAATAAAAATTAATTACGCAAATAATGGGAGATAAAATGTACAATTTCCACAGACTATAAACATGCTGATCAAAGGATTTTGGCTTATGCATGCTGTCAAGTTGCGTTCAATTTATGGACTCTAAGAGGGTTTTCCTACTATGAGAGATAGTGGTTTCAATCATGTTAATCCTCATACAGTGACCTGAATGCAGACTTCCTGCATTCTAATCTAGCACTCTGTCTGCCACACCAGAATGGCTCACTCAGAGGACTTATGAGATCCTGAAATGTGATGTGTGGCTATTTAGCCTAATAGTCATGCTCCCAAATTGTTCTTCCATGATACTGCATTGTTCTTCCATTATCATGCATTGTAAACATTCTGGCCCCCTACTTCTCACTCCAAACTGCAAGTTGTAAATTTGTTTAAACACATCCAGAGAAGATTCAGTTTCAAATTCCAGGTACTGCAACTCGAAGTACCAGTTTTCTTAGGTTACATCAATTGAAATCAGCACATAATCCTGGGAAAACAAGAACAGAACAAAATATAGTTATTTCTAATAATAGGCTCATACACTTTAAGACTGTTCTAATTTTTTAATATCTTTGCACTGTTTCATTGTTGCTCATGGCTTCATTTTTGTTTTACTATGGCTACACTGGTTTTTTTTTAACTCCTTCTTCCTGAATCACTCTGTTTAGGCTGAAATTGAAACATAGTTTTCCTATCCCATTACAGGTATTAATTACCATAGCAATGCCAGGAAGTGTTGACACTAAGATATATTTACAATGGTTATGTATTTATTTAAAATACTTTCTCCTCAAGAGGACCCAAGGTGGCTTGCAACATTAAAGTAAGAAAAAAAAATTACCCAGCACTGTTGCAGATTACTCTTTTGAAGTGTATGTAGCCAAATTATGAGCAATAGTATTCACACAAATAGCACTCACCTCCATAGCTTTTAAAAAGTAAAATGTGTATACTGTACGCCCTCACCAATATGGACACAGAAAGTGATATGAATGGGGGATAGGGGCTTTCATTCTTTCCTCAATGGTGCGCTCCCAATTCAGACTGTATTCCTTGCACCTCTCACTTACTTTGGAAGTAAAACCTCTTCCTCTTTCCACCCAAACAGCAAAACACTGTGAGGGGGTGAAGGAGGTAGTAATGTTCAAGCTACCTCAGGGTCTTGATATAGATTAGATCATGTGTCATTCACAAGTGGTAACACAAATGGCCTTAGTTTGGCCTTGAGCTGATAGTGTCCTAATTCTTTCTGCTTCAGCTCCTTCACCACACTATCTGGATGCTAGATTTCTGAATGGAGCTGAATGACTCTAATCTTTAGCTTGTGTGAATATAAATGCAATGGCATGGACACTATGGTGCCATGCAGCCATTTTACATCCTGTAGGTTTTGTTTTGATTTTTCTGAAAGCACAGTATAAGACACTTTTGTTTTCTAGTATATTTTGGAACCATATCAAATGATTGGGGGCTTTTAAATCAGTGGAAGGCACAACTGGATAGGGAATAGGTATAACATAAAGCCAGCAGTGAAAGCTCTTTAAATGTGTCATATCTGAGAGTGCACAAATGGATCCTTGGTATACAAATAACAATCACAACCTTGCTGCTACAAAATATAGGAGGGCAGGAGAACACAGATCTCCGAGATCTAATCAAGGCTTATGGAGAATAAGAGGGAACAAGTTTTGAATTAAACTTATAAAGCAAAAATCAGTGGTGTCATCAGAACAGGACCTTGGAACAGAAATCCACAACCATACTCAAGAGAATGACCTCCAAATGCAGTAGGGCTTTCCTATCTTACTTTGAAGTAAACAAAGTAATACAAACAACCCATATATAAAATCACCATCCATTTCTGGACTCAGCCCAATGTATACTGTACTATTATTTAAGTGCAGAAATATGAAATTAAATTAGGCCAAATTCACATGGTGGAATTAACATGTTGAAAATGAAGGCTCAGCAGATCTGTCCAGCATTTTACATGACAAGAGACTAACAGTTTGGCTTACAATTAAACTCATGTATACTGAGCTGCTAGGTTAGACACATTGCTTTATCTTCTCAAAAAGCAACTGGGTATCCCATTAAAAAGGAAAAACATTTTGCCCAAATTGAAGCCTATAACAGGAACTGAAATCCCTTTTCTGAAAGGCAATAATTTATCAATGCTTTCATTATCAAAGGAGTCAACATTTTGCACTTATTTATATTTCACCTGGTTAAGTTGAATGACAAGTCCAAGGAAAGTATGTTTGGCCATTTTAGGAAGATGGAGACACTTTTTCCAGCATAGCATAAGGAAACAAAACCAACAAAATTACAGCTGAAATAAAAATAGAGTAAAACAAGATTAACAGGAATTGATTGGATACCTCTTAGCAATATGCCCTCTTGTGAATCTGAAGTGGTTTTGCAGATTTTATTATGTGTGCAATCATAATTACCACTTGTGAATCAGTAGCATATTCTACCCCATGTAGCATATTCTTTAAAGTGCTAACAATGATTTCATTGGGAATTAGTTCATTTACAGCGTATTAACACTACATATTTTGCAATACATTATCTGTATAAATAAATAAATTGAAAGTGTACATGGTTTTACAAAATATACAACATAAACATAAAATTAAAAGCAAGTTAAACAGCATCTT